GCCAAAGCTGCCCCCTTCGGGTCCATCCATCATGAGCTGGACGATGATGAGGAAGATCACGATGATGATGGCGGCGGTGGAGGCGCCGCAAAGCAGCGACACCTCTGTCAAAGTGGTGAACTGCATCGGCGGGAGGATGAGGATGGCCATCATGAGGGTCCAGATGTAGCCGCAGACGGGCGCGTCGGGAGCCACGACCGAGAGCGAGCCGCCAGAGGCGACGAGGTAGTAGGGCATGAGCAAGTACCAGTTGATGACGATCATAAACTTGGTGAAGGCGCCAAAGATTGGGCCGCCGACCGTTGTTGCGAGGTCTCCGTAGCCCCCTACCCCCTCCCCAGCGAAGAGATCGACCTTGCATCGGCAGAGGAGCAGGCCCGAGTACCTGTGGGGCATAGGTGGCAAGTGGCCGTGTGAGGGCGCTAACGGCTCTCTATCCGGGCCCGCGGGCCGGGCGCGAGTCACGTTGAGGTGAAGCCAAAGATGACCATGGCCGGGAACGCGATGAGGTATCCGAGGCCGGTGGCATGTCCGGCGAGCCCCAGCACCCCCGTGCCCATGACCTCGCCCAGTATCACCATGCCGGCGTTCCACCATTCCGCAGCGCCGACCGCCTTCTCGGAATCGTCAATCGGCTGAGACAGCCGCTGCGGCTGCACGCGGTGCGCCGAGGTCATGCGCGCACTGGCGCGGACCGACGCGATCGACGCCTGGGACTCCCTCCTTGCCTTCCCGGCATCGTACGCGGACGTGCGCGGAGCCTTGACAGTGTCCATCGGCAACGCACGACGAGGGGGCCGAGGGGGCCGAGAGCGTCCGTCGGCCAACTTGCCGTTTACATTCAAATTAGCGGTCTTTTACTATATATAAAGTGACGTTTCGTTTCGCTCTTGCCGCGGGGAGAGAGAGAGAGAGAGAGAGAGAGAGAGAGAGAGAGAGAGAGAGAGAGAGAGAGAGAGAGAGAGAGAGAGAGAGAGAGAGAGAGAGAGAGAGAGAGAGAGAGAGAGAGAGAGAGAGAGAGAGAGAGAGAGAGAGA